CCCCCCCCCCCGCACCTCCAGGCGCAGACTTCCCGCGCCTCCACAGGCAGCCAGCCTCTCTTACCTTCCCGCCTCCCGGCTGGTGCTTCAGGTTCTCAGTGGAACCGATCTTGGACTTGACGTTCTTCAGGTCTGGCATGGGCACGGGGGCTGTCTGCAGGCGGCTCTTGGCGGAGGATGGCGACTTGGGTGGAGTACGGACCACCGCCACCTTCTTGGGCTCGCGGGTGGGTGGGGTTGGAAGGGACGGAGTGCGGGAGCGGCTGCCTGGAGTGCCTGGGGAGCCGGGACTGCTGTAGCCGCTGCGATCCCCTGATTTCGGAGTTTCACCTGGGGAGGAAGGAAGGCAATGAAGCCAGGACTCGGGTCGGTGGTGGTCAGAAAAGGCCCTGGGGGCTGCCTGTCCCGCGGGTCCATTCCCAGGCTCACCGTTGGGTTAGGCAGGTGAGGGCCAGGTTGGAAGTGCAGGCTGCGGCTGCGAGCCCTCAAGCATCTCCTCCTCCCTGCCTTTTTGCTTAGGGACAGAGACGCCCCTTTCCCAGGAAAACAACGGAAAATCATCAACCCATCCAACTCCCGCTCCCAGAGAGGCAGCCAACTTGGCCCCACGGTCTTTGGGTCAAGAGATGGGCTCCAGCAAGCTGTGTGGTCTCAGGCAAGTCACTTCCACTCTCTGAGCTCAGAGGCCTCAATGTGAAAATGGAAATAATTATAATCCCTGGGGCAAGGGTGCCTCCAGGTGGTGGTAGATACACTTTGCAAACCTCTAGTGCAATTCTTCAGGGCCTTTATCCTAAATAAGGGTGAAGCAGTGATCCTAAATAAGGGTGACACAGTGACGGGACCCAGCTGTGCCCTGAAACCTGGACGCTTCTGACCCTTCCCCCCAGGGTGAATGTTCACTGTTGGGCTAGTTCAGGGCTCCTGCCAGCTCCCTGGGTCCCGTGTGGGACCTGGGCTCCGGAGCAGGATGCCTGCTCCACACCTGCCTGTCCCTAGCTGTCCACACAAGCCATACTGCTTCACGCTGCGGTGCCCTGTGGTACGGTTCCCCTCCGCCATGCACGGCAGATGTCAGTGCCCCTTTCCAACAACCCGGAAGGCTGCTGGGGAGTCTCCGCTCCACGCAGATGCGGTCCCTCCCTCCTCTGGGTGTCCTTTCCCCCCAAGCTTGCTCTGTCACTGCACATCCCAGGCCCCGTTACACCTCAGCACTGCGCTACTCTGTCTCATGGCTCCGTGTTTTCCAAAGTGTGGCCCACGGGACTCTGTCAGATCTCCGGCACTTTCAAGGAGGAAAGTGGGACTTGTAAAATGCAGATTTCTGTGCCCCATGGAGAATGGATAGAGCAGAATTTCTAGGGGTGGGGCCTGCAAAGCTCATTTTTTCCAAGCTTCCCGAAGACTGAAGTCTGTCTAAGAGCTGCAAGCTTCACACTGTGCCGAGGTGTGCTTAGCTTCCCTGCAGTTTGAGGACTGACTTTCCTGTGGGTCTTTAAGCTTCCTGCAGCAATGCCCCTGCCCTGCTCCGGGCATCTGCTGTAACACACACCTGCTGGCCTGACCTGGAGAAGGGCAGCTCTTTGTTCAAAGCTCCTGTGTAGCCAATAGGCGGCTTGGTCAGTCACAAATAAGCACCAATTCTTTTTGTTTTTTTTTGAGATGACGTTTCGCTCTTGTAGCCCAGGCTGGAGGAGTGCAATGGTGTGATCTCGGCTCACTGCAACCTCCTCCTCCCTGGGGTTCAAGCGATACTCCTGCCTCAGCCTCCTGAGTAGCTGGGATCGCAGGCATGCGCCACCACACCTGGCTAATTTTTGTATTTTTAGTAGAGACTTATTTTAGTAGAGACTGTATTTTTGTGTTTTCAGTAGAGACTTCTGTAGTAGAGGTTTTACTGTGTCGGCCAGGCTGGTCTTGAACTCCTGACCTCAGGTGACTCACCTGCCTCGGCCTCCCAAAGTTCTGGGATTATAGACGTGAGCCACCACGGCTGGCCAGCACCAGTTTTTAGAATTTGATTTCCATGTCTTAAAAAAAAATTTTTTTTAAATAGAGATGGGGGGGTCTCACTATGTTGCCCAGGTTGGCCTTGAACTTCTGTACTCAAGCAATTCTCCCACCTCAGCCTCCCAAAGTGCTAGGATTACAGACGTGAGCCACTGCGCCCTGCCGATTTCCACATTTTGGATGTTCCTGAAGTAGTCAAGCTCTGCGGCAATAGGACAAACAAAGCCTCTTCTTTTCCACATAAGAAAACAACAGATGGGGCCTCGGCCTCCAAGGCCTCCAGGCTCAGCCTCTCTGCCTCCTCAGACCTCCCATCCTCCTGCCTCCCTGACTTCAGAGACCCAGGGTGACCAGTGGGCTTGGTGTGGTAGCTCTGAATCCTTCTCATGCCTCTTACTTGCAGAGTGGTCTCCCCAAGGCTAAGTCCTCATCTGAAAAATAGGGAGACAGCTAGGCATGGTGGCTCACGCCTGTAATGCCACTGTCCCTGAAGTCAAGGCGAGCACACAGGATTAGAAAGCCCGTCAGACAAACACAGCTGCGCAAACTGCACACGGAAGAGAATTCGGACTGCTCCATTTTCAGGCTTAATGTGCGAACCCTGCGTTTCAGAAGAGGGTCCTCCCGGCACTGAAACACAAGCCAGTGAATAGCCACACACGCAAAGGGAGGCTGCCCTAGCAAAGCAGGCTCCCAATTACCTCTTTCAGAGTGGGGCCCTGCAGGGGGTGCTTTTCTCTGTGCTTGCTTGGTAGCTTAAAGAGAAAAATCCACAAAAACTTCGTTATCATCAGGCTTCAAAGGGGCCTTAATGAGTCCTTCACGTGGCAGGTGCCTACAGCCAGCCCAGCAGCGGCCCTATTCTGAAACAAGGTCGAGGGGGCTGAGGGGAGAGGGTCTCCCTACCTGCAGGCAGCCACCGAAGAGCAGGTAAGACCCAAAGGGAAATGCATGACCTTGTTTCAGGTCGTTACAAAGTGCGAGTCCCCTGTAATCCCGGCACTTTGGGAGGCTGAGGTGGGAGGATCACTTGAGGTGAGGAGTTCAAAACCAACCTGGCCAACATGGTGAAACCTTATCTTTATTAAAAATACAAAAATTAGCTGGGTGTGGTGACCCATGCCTGTAGTCCCAGCTACTTGGGAGGCTGAGGCAGAGAATTGCTTGAACCTGGGAAGCAGAGGTTGCAGTGAGCCAAGATTGTGCCACTGCACTCCAGCCTGGGCGACACAGTAAGACTCCGTCTCAGAAAAACAACAACAACAACAAAAAACAAAGTGTGAGTCAAGTGGCCCAATGTTAAGTGAAAAAACAAAAAACCCCAGCAGGATCCCAACCCTACTTAAAATCCCATGAAAGTTCTGAAAATTATCTCTAGATCGTATGCATATGAGAAAGACAGGCCAGAAAACACGAGGCGAAAAGATAAAACCAACAAACCTTAGTGGACAGCCACCTTGTGGGGGCCACTGGGCCGCAGCACGTGTGCATGAAATGCCACTGCAGAGACACAGCAGGTGGCAGGCAGGCTCTGGGTAGCTCCCTCAGGCCAGGAGAAGCAGAGTCGCCAAGATCCAGGCCGGGCTTTGGCCACAGCCCACAGCAAGAGCCCCAGCTGCCTGCACCACGGAGGAGCCAGTGCAAGTCAGACTCTGCACCCCACATGGTGCAGAGTCTAACCCAGTGCCCGGAACACTTCACCTGGGCAGTGGGAGAGGGAAGCACCTTGGGCAGGTTGTCCCTAATCCCAAGAGGACGATTTTTTTTTTTTTGGAGACAAGTCTTGCTCTTGTCGCCCAGGCTGGAGGAGTGCAATGGTGTGATCTTGGTTCACTGCAACCTCCTCCTCCCGGGGGTTCAAGCGATTCTCCTGCCTCACCCTCCTGAGTAGCTGGGATTACAGGTGCCTACCACCACACCTGGCTAATTTTTTTGTATTTTCAATAGAGACGGAGTTTTACCATATTGGCCAGGCTGGTCTCGAACTCTTGATCTCAGGTGATCTGCTCACCTCAGCCTCCTAAAGTGCTGGGATTATAGGCATAAGCCATCACACCTGGCTATGACTGTTCTTAATAGCACCGCTGGCTGCAAAATATCTTGATGGTTGCCTTACTGGGTATTCCAAACCGAATGAGTTTTACTCACAGGAGCCCAGGGCAATGGGC